TTCTTGCAAAATATATATTTAATAGCCAAATTTTATAAAAAAAAAAAATATATATATATATACAAAAATAAATAAAACAGAATGGAAGGAGAGCATCATGAGAAGACTGCCCAACAAATAACTATCAAGACACCAGAATTCATGCAAGCCAACATTACCAGTTGGTTTACAATCATTGAATCTCAATTTTATTTGAGAAATATTACATCACAAACTACAAAATTTTACAACATCATTGCTTTGCTACTGGCAGAAATAGTGGCTAAGATCCCTGGCAACGTTTTAAGTATTCACAACTATGATGAACTGAAACAAACCCTTATAGAATCACACGAGAAAACAAAGCCAGAGATGCTAGACAAATAAATGTCCACCTCCATTATTACAGGTTGACCGTCAGTCTATTTTCAGGAAATGCTATAAATAGCAGTGAGATTAGAAATCAGCAACAAAATTGTCTTACACAAATTTTTTCAGGCATTGCCAGTTTCGATAAGTCTTGTGTTAGCCACGTAAAAAGACTTAAACCCGACCAGACTGGGGCAATTGGCGGACGAGTTAATGCCTTTAATATAAGGCACTACTAGAACAAGCATGTGCAACCACATCCAGACAAAAGGAGTGCCTCCTAAAACTTCAGCAACATTACCGTATGACAACTACAGAAGATATGTAGGGCACACATTTACTATGCAGATGTAGCGCACACATGTAAACACTGGTGCAAATGGCCGAACAAAAAAAGAGACAATACAACAGCCAAGTTCGCGTCCATCTTCGCCAGCTCCAAGTGAAGCGGGAAACTAATTGGGCGGACGACGACTCCCCCCCAAGTCCGCCATTACTACAGATACCAGCAATGTTGGGGACACACAAATTCTCATTCATTATAGATACCGGCGCCAGCCTATCTATCATCCCACATAGTCACGTTAAGGGTTTATCTACAGACCCAACACCAGTCACTCTGACGATGGCTACGGGGTCTGAAATACGCTGCTACGGGCAGCTTAAAGCTGAAATAAGCTTATCGATGATCTTTTCTTTGGACGTTTGTAGTAGCGGACATCCAATACCCCCTACTAGGATTCGATTTCTTAAATAATTTCGGATTACTAATAGATTGTCAACAGAAAACAATCGTCAACTACACAACAGAGTGTGCAAAGAAATTGAAAATATTTAACGACTATATCAACTTGGTCGTAAATAATAATATGCCCGAATTAATTAAAAACTTGATAAAAAAGTATCCCAACATTGTATCACCACATACCAACCCAGAAAGCACGTATGCAGGAGTATACCACAGAATTGACACAGGCAGTCATGCTCCTACCTTCTAAGGCCAGACGGCTGTCAGAAGAAAACCCAGGCAGTGAAGAAGGAATTTTCTTAAAAAATGGTTACAGAAAAATGGTGTTATTATGGACAGTGAATGGGGCCTATCCCCTCAATCGCTACGTTAGTAAGAAAACTAGATTCAGCAAAATTGACCTGGAAGATGCTGCGGTGATTAAAAATAGCATCACAAAAAAGTGATAAATAAATATCCCGAATATTAACTCAATCACTGATAAACTAGCTAACAAAACTAGATTCAGCAAAATTGACCTGGTATCAGCATACCACTAAATCAAAATGCAAATTTTTACATGACATAAAAAAAATAGCACTTATTTCTCCTCTCAGTTTACATGAATATAAATACATGCCATTTGGATTAAAGAATGCGGCATCCACCTTCCAAAGATACATGGACAAGATTTTTCAACATGTTGATTGTGTATTTGCATACATTGATGATATTCTCATTTTCAGCAATGATTCATCATCACACATAAAAGATATTGAAACTGTTGTAAAAATTTTACATGACAAAAATTTAAAAATTTCAATAGAAAAGTCAACCTTCGATGTAACTTCATTTGATTTCTTAGGATATAACATTAGCTTGGATGGTATTAGACCTACACAAAATAATGTTAGCGCATTACAAAATTTTCCTCCTCCTAAAGATAGTAAAAATCTTTGTTGTTTCTTAGGCATGGTGAATTTTTACAGAAAATTAATGCCTAATTTCACAGACATAGTCATGCCATTGACAGAAAAAATACGCGTATGCAGTAATACTACATTTACGCTAAATGATTTAGAATTACAGGCATTTAACAATGTTAAAAACAAAATTAGTGAATTTCCATCCCTGGCTCACCCACAGCCTGAGTATACTGAATATCAATTAATTACTGATAACAGTAATTATGCTATTGGTGCAGCCCTACATCAAGTAGTCGAAGGAATGCCAATTCCAATAGGTTTCTTCTCTAAGAAGTTGACACAAACTCAAACGAAATATTCAACTTTTGATAAGTAACTTTTTGCAGCCTATTCAGCTGCCTTACACTTCAAGCATATTATTGAAGGCAAACAAGTTTTACTTTTAACTGACTATAAGCCTTTATGTGGTGCATTCCATAGCCTAAACCCTGCTAAATTAGATAGACAGCAGTGGCAATTAGCAATTCTAACTGAATATATATCAGATATAGGCCACATAAAGGGTGATCAAAACGTTGTAGCTGATTGCTTGTCGAGATCTACTCTAGCAGTTACAGTAGATCTGTGTGACTTGCCAGCTATAGCGGCTGCACAACTTAAGGACCCTGAGTTAAAAGAATTCCTTGGATTAAAACAATTCAAATTTAGTACTGGCAATAATAATTCCATATACTGCGATAATAGTACCGGTGTTCCCAGACCATATATACCTGGTAAATTATGAAAATCTATTTTCGATAGTATTCACGCAATATCACACCCTGGAATTAAAACTTCATGTAAAAATATCAAAAAAAGATTTTTTTGGCCTTAATATGGACTAAACAATAAAAGACATATGTAATGAATGCCAAACTTGCCAGAAAAGCAAAATTCAGAGACACACTAAATCTGCTATTCCCCCTATTGAATTGCTGACTATTCACTTCAATACTTAGATTTAATCAGTCCTCTCCCAGTGACTAGGAGACATCATGAAACGTACAACGCTCCTTACATGTATTAACATGCATTGACCGCACTACTAAATGGATACAGGCAGAACCACTACTGGATATCACAGCTCGATCTGTTGCCAATGCATTTGTTCATGCGTGGATCACACGATGGGGTGTTCCTCTTCACGTAATAAATGATCGTGGTACTCAGTTTGAGAGTGAATTACTTTCCGGAATAGCCTCAATAGTTGGCTTCTAAAGATTGCACACAACTAGTTACCATCTGCAAACTAACAGAATGGTTGAACGTGCTCATAGAACAATGAAGACAGCAATAATGACTAGAAAGGAATCATGGCTCGACACCCTCCCAATAATATTAATGGGTATCTGTGCTGCACCTAATTCTTCTAATATCTCACTATTCTTTGCAGTTACAGGCATGCATATAATGATTCCTCAATTGCTTGTAGACGATACTAACGATGACATAGACAATCAAAAGTTTGCTAAGGAACTTAAAAAAAATTTAAAAGTTTGCTAAGGAATGTAAGTACCTTACATTCCTTACAGCCAACAGACAAAGATTATAGCTCCATAAACAAATTGCATCAATACATCCCAGACAAACTTAAGTCATGTAAGAGTGTATGGCTAAGGGTAGACAGAGTTCGCAAACCTTTGGAAGCACCTTACATGGGTCCCTTCGAAGTGTTACATAGAACCGATAAATATTTTGTGATTAAAACAAACAATGACATATATTCAACAGTATCGATAGATAGGTTAAAATCACACGTAGAACCTAAAACTAATAAGCAAATAACTGAAAAGCAATCTCATAGCGACAAAATAATAATGGATACAGAAAACATAGAAAAGAATGATAAGCCCAGTCATACTAAAGTAGGTAGAAAAATTTCTTGGAAGAGAAACAACCAATATTACTATTACTAGACTCTGCTACTAGGCAGGGAGGTTTGTTGAGGGAGACAAAAGTTATCTTCCTTTGAATAACTCATTTTAAAAAGCTAAAAATAGATATATAGATAGTCACGTGAACTGCCTGAGTGATCATTTTAGTCAAAAATCCTCTTTGGTTCCTGGCAGTCAAACTAGAAAAACGTACTTATTCAGGCTCGTGACTATCAACATAAGATAAGTACTAAAGAGCACCTTTTTTTTCAGATATCAAATCTCTTATAAAAACACATACACACCTTGTATGAACATTTCAGATATAAATATATATATATATTCAATTGCTGTTATCTGAAGACTTATGTGGTTATTTTGAATTTTTTTGTGTTTATGTTGTATTGAACTTTGCCAAAACCATCACATTTCCTCTACCAACTTGATTCTACAGGATAATGATGCACACATAATCGGTTCATTGGAGAAAACCGGGCAACCTTTGTCATTTGTATGCCCATTGAGTCATTTATGGTGATGGAAATTTGTTAGCATAGGTACTTTGACTAGCCTGCAGTTACACAGCTCCATATGCAAAAAAGTTAATGTACTGTGTGTTGTGACATTCTGTGACAAAACACACAATCACTTTGATTACGGCTATCTGCAATTTGTACTAGAGTAGCATTTGCTTTGACTTGTTTATACAATGGCTTGTTGACAGGGATTTTCCTCTTCTTACACCGCTGCAGATAGGTACTTATAATTTATGTAAGTACTCCATATGCCATGCCATTTAGGAAATGTCCTGACCTACTGATCATAATAATTTGACTTAGCAAAATCACTTGAAATTTTCTTGTCCATAAGTTGAATTCAGAATATCAAAATGAAATGCTTGAGGTTGGTTTATATAACTCTAAATTTATCAATTGTAATTGTTGAGAAATTAGCTGTTATTCTTGCCACATGTTACTGGTTATGTTTTTGGCTCATCAGTGTATGTATATAAATATTTTTTATAAATCAATTCTATTCATATATTTTTAATTTTTTTTAACTGATTTTAGGTTTTTGTTAAAAACTATGGTTATTTTTTTCCAGGCTGACAATATAATAAGTGTTGTTGATGTTGACTCTTCATCCATAGTGTTATCCCACCGACTCACTCCCATGAATACTCCTCCATTGGACAAAGGCACCCCAGTCTATTTAACTCTTCAAGAAATTCTCATTGTAGGCAATTGTAATGAACAGGTAATATTTTGTAAACTATGAAATTTTCTGGATAAAGACAATTTCTTTCTAAATATCAGGTCATCCCATAAGTAATGTCTGAAATCTGATAGCAAATGATTAAATATGTTATCTGCTGATAAATTTTTGAAAAAATAGTTAGTCTTCAATGTATGATTCAACTAATTTGACTCTCCTAAAGATGCTGAAGAGCACATGACATTTAATGTACAATGAATTCAGGAAAAGCCATTATACTGCAGAAAAATAAGTCTTGGTGCTTATGGAATAAATGGTTTAAATGGAAGAAATTGTCAAAGTTTGAAATGTTTAGAAAAGTGACTTATATTTAAGTGATACACTGCAAGCAGTTGAGTTTAATCCAGTTCAGAAGAAAAATGACTATAAAGTGATGCAGAAAAAGCATTTGTGGGATTACTCTGGAGTTAATCACTTTGATTGTTATGATTACTGTAATCATCTATTGTCAATGGAACATTTCAACAATTTTGAAGAAAAAGAAGTGAAGTCTGAAAAGTATGGCGTTCTGTGGTGATAATGTTCATTAGAAAAGAACTTGGCTAGGAAAAATTTCAACATCTTTCTTATTTTCAAGATCAGTATTACAACCTATTCTGGAGTTTAAAGAATCATCTTGATGGATGAGTTCTTAAAACATATGGAAACTACATTCTCTCTATTATTTTTCTTCAGAACAAAAGACTTTACAAAAATGCTATTATGAAACTTGTGAATCATTAGGAGATTGATAATTATCTTAATGAATAAATTCTAATTAAAAATGAAGTTTTTATATTATTTCTGACCCAAAATTCAAACATTTATAGGATGATCTGATAGAAATATGTAGAGGTTCAATTATGAACTATTTAAAAAAAAATGAATATATTACACCTCAAGAATTTAACAGAAAATTTCCATTACTAACTTATGAATAAGAATCAGTAAAAATGATTATCAATTAAATATTTCTTATAAATATACCTAAAATTTTACAAAAATGATTGGCATTTTTGTAGCAATACATTGTTAAATGAGATATAAATACAAATATATTAATGCATGCATGCAATTCCTTTGATTTATTACATTATGCTAGCCATGAGTTTAAGAGACGTTTTGAAAAACATTTTCAAAGAGACAAGTGCCTCTCAGAATGAGGCAATAACTGTACAAAAATTCAAATCAATCAGCAAGACTGGTGTATTTCTAAAGCAACTGTTTGAATTTGGTTTTTATAATCGAACATATAACATTTGCAATTTATTTATTGCAATAAAAATACCCTTAGGAAATGTTTTCTTGGAAATTGAATAAAATCTGTAATTTCCATTTATATGGCTAGTTATAGAAAATATAAAATTCATGTTTTTTATACATATCTTGAAAAAATAAGGTTATTATTATTAATAATACCATCATCAAATTTTTAATCATGTTTTAAAACTATATGGTTGGAAGGGAAATTCTCATGGTTTATAAATAAATTTGATGTTCTACAAACCCCTTTCTTTCCAAACATAAGATGGTATCAAAAAACTGGATTTTTGTTCATATTTGAAGGTAATTGTTAATATTTACATCTCCTTATTAAATAGGAATGATACACTTTTTATTTATGGTGAGTAGAATCAGAAAAATAAGATAATTCCTGAAAATATATTTAAAACGAAAAGAAAACAAACTTTGTATCAGTGTATAATATTTTGAATTATAACAAATTGTTAATTTTTTTTAACTTTTCACTTTAAATTATTAAGTAAATTTTAAGAAAAAATTAAATTGTGTATATAGAGGAAACAAAAAACTTAAAATACAAAAAAAAACACTGAGCTGTACAAAAAAAACTAAATTTACTTTTCACTGAAAAGTAAACATTTTTAAATGTCATAACCTTATTTCTATGCACTAAGGATAAAGAATTATCAGATTTTCCTCTTTAAAATGACTAATTCTTATAGAGATGAAATTTACTACAATAAAAGATTTATAACATTTTTTTGTTTCTTTTTGTCAGCTTTCATGTTCATATTTAGTTATATACACTGTACCAGTAAACATATTAATACATTTAATTTGGCTGTTTTTTTTAAAACTTCTATATATTTTTTTTTCTTTTAACAGAATTTTATCTCTCTTAGAAATTGTCCTGATAACCTTGAATAGACAGAAAATTTTAGTGTATTTTATTTTCTTCTAGGTAAAATTTAGTGAACTCACATTGGATATGTTCCGAATGCTTCAGACTTTGGAAAGAGAACCCCAAGAAGACTTAACCACTCAACTATATGATACATCACCAGCTCCAGGGAGGCAACCATTTGTAAGTTATAAATTATCCAGTAATAAGATACTGCATCCACAGTGACTGTACAGTATATGAAAGCTGACAATGCAAAAAAAAAAAGATAATAAATTTTAATGTATTTTGTGAATACTTTTTGTGTTTATGCAACCTGCCCTTTCAATAAAAAAAAAAAAAAAAAAATGGAACAAATTTAGAAAAACACAATTTAATAGAAATTGGATTTTAAACCACCACTCTAAGGAATTCTTAACCCTTGTTCCCCGCAAAAATGCAAAACAACACAAGGGACTATAGTAGACTTTGTTATTAATTGAATGTTTATTTATGTTATGTCTTTCAAAAATATAATCAAAACCTACTTGTATTGTTCTTTTATGACTCCAAGACAACATCTGTTGTAGTTGACTGTTTTGGAAGTCTGTTAGAAAATACAGTTGAATCTTAATTTAATTGTTATCAAACAATTCTTCACTAAAATTCTTTTTCTGACACTAAAATAAATATCATTGATATGTACTTTGCTTATCTATTGAGCTATTTCATTCTTATATTGCAGCTTTGGAAACATTCCTAGAATAATTTTATCAATCTCATGTTTTTATTAACTTTGTCTTAAATTGAAAAACAATGTGAAATAACTGGAGTTATGTGGTGAATACACATCAGTACAGCTGCAAAAGAGGACCCAGATGGTGTCTGGACATGTTTGTCAACATCAGTTGCATCTGGGTTTTACTCCATTAGCAGCAGGACAACTTTGCATGTTTAGATACAGGCCTCACTGCAAATGGTCAAGATCTGATCTTTGTAAGATGCCTCATGCCAATAAAAACAATGAGAAAATATGCAAGACACTGTGTCTTGTGAAGACGGTCCCATGGGGATTTTGTTCCTAAAGTTGTTGTGGTTTCCAAGGCAGTAGTAGTTTTTGTTACCTCTCATCTTTTTCTCTTCTCTGCCTATTGCCCCCATAGTTGCTGGGAGAGCAATTAGTTAGGTGTTTCCTCCAATCCCAAGATACTCTTGCCATACATTACAACAAGTTAAATGATATTTCTAATAGATTAACCATAGTTCTACCTTACGTAGTTATTTATGATAAACTAGCAGAAAAAATAACCTCTTTTTACTATCTAGTTTATATAACTTTTGGTTATGTATTTCATTTTAAATGAGTTTTTCCAATTTTTTAATATCTTTCCACTTAATCACAAAATTAATTCACTGTTTCTTTTTAATTTTTTTAAAAGAAATAGTAAAATCCAGAGAAGTGCAAGCCTCAGGTTCCTTCCAAGCCTCCAAATTAACAATGCTAAAAAGAAACAGTTAGGTTCACACAGGTATGGAAGGGGGCCAATTAAGCAAAAGGATAGGACTCATTCAACGGGGAACCTGGATCAGATGGGAAGAAGTAAAAACCAGAAAATCAAATGGATAGATTGCTGGCAGTTCAATTTTAACAATGTAAGATTCTTAATCCAAGCTGCTTACAATGTCCTACCAAGTTTATTGAATCTCCATTTGAGGAAAAGTTGATTCCCTTATCCGCTATATGCAGGAAAAGACTCTCTCCAGCATATCTTAGGTAGCTTAGGGGATGGTTGTTACCACTGACGGTATGACCAGATACTCAAAGTAATTGCAAGTGCCATTAATAGTAGTAAATACCAACCAAAAAACAGGAGAATCAACATTGTTAGAGAGGGAAGCAAATCTCTTCAAAGTTATTGACTTTCTTTCACACCTGATTGGCAAATGTTTACCTATGTTTTTAAATATATGTATGAATATTTAAAGTATTTTTACACATTTAAAAATAGCATTTTTTAACAGTAGGAAGCAATAAGGCATAGCGTTTGATCCGTTAGTCTTTATTTTATTTTTTTCTGTTAATTTTCAACAAAATATGGGTTTTTATTGTATTTTTTCTAATACTAATGTTTTCAATGGTATTATTTACTGTATTTTTGTTAAATTGCTTGAGAGTTAATGACTTGCATCGTAAGTATTATTTTATAACCCTAATAAACAATGCCGTAACAAAATAAACCTGTATATGTACCAATAACTTTAAACTGTTTTTGAATGTCTGAAAATTATTTCTCATGTTTTATCTGTTGTTTCCCTTCAGGATGTGGGCAATCATGGCTCTCCACAACTTTCTATTTTTTTAGCACTTAGTAATGTTTTTTTTACTATCCTTCCAACTTTCTCTTTTGTCATCCATTTACAAATGCTCATTAAGTTGTTGTTTCCCACTGTCACTCTTGCTTTCAGTATGTCATGTAAGTGTCAAATTCTCCAAGCACTCTTGTACCCACCTATGACGTTGGACAACCCTTTTCAATCATTGACGTATCTATCAACACACCTATCACTTTCCACCTCACACACCACACTCCCCCAGCTCTGAGCTCTATCTCTTCTTGCCTTTTGCCTCTCAGTTGTGAGTCACTAGCTCCACTAGCTTGGTTGTGTAATACAGACCTTGCAGTCAGTCAGCTTCCTGTTCCTTCTTTGGTTGGGGCTGATGTGACATCTCGATAGGGTTGATTCAGGTTTCCAAAAATCTTACAATATTGGGATTGATGGTGAAGCCTAGTGTGAACGCCTTATACAACCCTGATCAAAATCTTAAGACCAGATACAAAAGGGTTAAAAAAAATATAAAATACTGTTACTTTAATCAAAATATATTTGTGAAACATTGACATTTAATTTGTCCATAGCTGTGGTAAACTTGTCTACTCTTTGTGACTCAGGCTGGAAAAAGTATTCCTTCAATGAAATGCACAACACTTTTAATAACTCTGACAACAGGTTTATTAAATATAAAGAAAAACTGGTTGAATAAAATGTCTCTATTAGCTATTTGTAAATCAAAATACTCTACTGCAGGAGTTGTGATTTAGAGATTCTAGTTGCAACCATCAAAGTAATGTCCCATCAATTCTTTGCTTTTATCTTATGTCTGTGTTTTTGCAGTGGACCAGAAATTGCAGGTGTACTCTTTAGTGACACCTGTCTTACAAGCAATTCTCGGCTGTACTGAGCCACTGAAATGAGGGCGTGCTAACTAGGTCTGACATCAGCTCCGCACTTGAGGAGGATGACTACCCAGTGAATGCGTGCTGACCATTTATGTAGAGAAATCTTTCCCAATAACAATGGTTAATGACTTTACCTACACAGATGACGGAAAATGATAATTCGCAATGCCCAAAATTCATTATCTTCATTTTTTTCCCACTGTAATCTGGTCTGTCTCACTCATACCAAAAATCCAAAATAATGTCAGCTATAAAGATTTCTCATTCTTTGTCTAGAATAAATTTAGATTGTTATTTTTGGCATCCACCTATTTTCTCTAAGGTATTGTATTTTTCTGTTTTCTCAGGACCCAACAACTTGGATGATACATTAATCATCTCTTTCTTATCAGCAGGAAGTGAGGGAGGATTGGGAGTCTTGGTTTTGTTCACTCTTACTTTCATCACTCTGAATTTCATCTAGTTAAATTTGGGTTTGATTTTCTTTAGAACTGTTCTTAATTTCATTTTATTATTTTTAAACATAATTTTTAATGCATTTCGTTTTTAATTTTCTTCTCAACCATCCAACCAACTTTCCTGAGAATTATCATTCAATTAGTAGTCCTCTCAAAATCACCATCCTGTAATTTCATGCATTTAAAAGTTTAAACCAGGCAAGTGCCTGTTACACTTTTTTATGTGTCCCAAAAATTTCAACTGTCTCTTTCTGATTTTAAGTAAATGTGTCCTTTTAGCTTCCATTATCCTTAAAACCACTTTGTTGCTTACATGTTTTATTCATGATATTCTTAGCATTTGTCTGTAGAACCACATCTGTGACGCCACAAGTTTCCTCTTCATCTGCAAAAGAATTGTTTAGCATTCACTGCTTCATAAGAGGATTGATATTTTATATGTCATTCTTATTGCTTTTTTTCTTCTCACTACTAGCATGACAGTCAAAGTAAGGGAGAAATCATTAATATCAATAGTGTTTTTTTATAATATTTATATCAGATCAATTTGAAACTTTTGTCAAAAATGTAAACTATTTTTTTAATTATTTCTAAATAATTTACTATGACATATGTTTAAGAAGAATCCTTTATTAAAAAACTAGTAAATGTTTAAAATAACTTATTAATTCTGAACATATTTTAAAATTCAGAAATTTTAAATTCGTATAAAGATTGCAAGGGGGAACACTCTTTCAAAATATAGTAGAATTATGTCTCTTGAATAGATTTTTTTTCACTCAGAACAAATTGAATAATTTTTTTGTAAAAATAGACATACAAATTGACCCTATATTCTACTGCCAATCTTTTTTATTAAGTCCTAAAAAGTCTGCTCTGAAATAATATAAGTTAATTTCTTGATCTGTGTTCTTTAAAATTATATAAATATTTAGAATGTTTTGCTCATAAATTCTCTTTAAATTCTACTCTTGACTAATCTGGAGTAACTTTACTTGACCTTCCAAATTGTGAAATGAAAGTTGTCTTAAATGGCCAATCCTCTATCTTTTTGCATAAATGCAGGTGTTCCTTGAACCTATGTTGTTTCTAATTTTCATAAATGACTTTCTTGATGTCATCAGTTCTTAATTTGGCATCTGTGCTAGAAGTTGCTTGATTTATTTCTGTTTACTATGAAGATATAAATTGTATTATTGTAATATTTGAAATATAATAAACATAGGAAAATATAGTGAATAATACTCAATGTTGTGACAAAAGTTAGATACAAGCAATAATAATTATAAAATGGATTAATAGCTGAATTTAATATTTCAAGTTCATGTTAAATATAGATTTTAGTTTTGAAATTCATTATGACTTAAATAATCTTTTAAAAGCAAGCTAAAACAGCCTATTGAAGCAATTTTAAACTGGATAAAAAAGAAAACTGTATCAATTTTAGAGCAATTAAAAATATTAAAAGTAATTGTTCTCTTTTTCTAAAAACAAAATAAAATGCTTATCCTGTATGCCTTTAAAGTTCTTAAATTCCTTAATGATGTTGCATTCATTTTGCAAAAAAATTCTGAATGGGCATAAAGATTAAGAAAAAGGATGATTAAGTTTTTAATTCACTTCATACTAGAACAAAGATATTTTCTCAGATATAGGTAATAAAAGCTATTTCATAGATTTGTTTTTATATACTAATAAATTTTTATTGACATTTTCTTAAATTATTTTTCATGATATATATTGTTTCCTTTTTTCTTGCATTGCTGTGAAATTTTGAAAGTTCAATGATAAAATTCTGTTTTTGTGTGCTTTCTGGTCCTAAGATTTTTAGTGAAGATAATCTATTTTTATATTTTATTAAATCTTAAGGGTAAGTAATTTTCCTATCCTGGCATCATTCCTTATAATATTTTCTATATTAATTCATGACAGGAAAATTAATCATACATTGATCCTTTTGAATCAATTTTCTCATCTGTGACAAGGAAACTAGTTTGAAATAAACTAATACTTTGGAAATTCAAGCAAAAGGAGAATTAATCTTTTCAAATTGTGCCATATATTTCTATATTTCTCATTGAAAGTTTTAAAAAGATATTTGAACATTTTAATAACTATAAATAAATTATTATATATAAATAAATGCATTTTCATGCTCTGAAACTTATATAGTATAATTATCCTTTTTGATGATGATGTCTTTTTTATTGCTTTATATAACTAGGAAAATGGTGATCGCTCTATACGAAGAGACAACCCCCACAAATATCTGCTCTATAAACCAACATTCAGCCAACTCAACACCTTTCTAGCATCAGGTTTTAAAGAACTTCCACCAAATGGAGCTCTACTCTTGTATATATCTGCTGATGGTTGTTTTGGAAATGCCAAACATACAGATGATGGTATGTAGATGAAATAAACGTCACTTACGGATATTCATTTTTTTTTCTTTACAAAATTTATCATTGTTTTTCTAAGATTTGTTACTTAAATATCAAAAGAATTTATTGGTGGTAGTAAATTTATGAGTTACAGGTGATTAATTTAACTATGAATTTATAAAATTTATGTAATTCTCTTAGTCACAATTGATTTACTTGCATTTGGTTAATAATTTTAATGAACTTTTTGTTGCTTTCTTTGATGCTATAAAAGTATGTTGAGTTCATTTTGACTCTCTACTACAGATATTTCTTTTTGCTTTAACTATTCAGACCAAAATATGTAATTAGTTTTCAAAATTCCTTTTTTGTTTAAATCCAGCAGCTTTATTTCATGTTCAAGAATTCAGTTCCTTCTTTGCTGATTGCTTCCTTTGTGACCCACCCACTACCACATTGGTTTTCAGGTTCCTTCAGACCACCGTGGTTACCATCTAGTTGACTCCTTACTTGTTAACACATTGCTGGTTTGTTGCTGGTATCATGATGATGAGCACAGTTCCACTCAATCTAGTTCTACTTGATCTAGCTGGCATTCAACTCCTTCATGACTATTCACTCCTCTGTCACATTGTGTTTTTGATTTGAGAGAGTGTGAAGATCGCTGGTGAAGTAAACTTAAGTGAAGAACAGGTTGACAGGAACTACACAAAAAAGAATTCTTTTTGAATAAAAAAATCAACTCTGGTTAAAAATGTAACAATGCTTTTGGTTTATACATGAGTTTTTGTATACAGTGGTTTTAAACCTTCTCACTTACTGTTATAATCAAATGACACTGGGATCCCTTTTTGGAGTTTACAGCTTGTATTAGTAGTAATTTGAATTTCTAAGTTCTGGTCTTCAGGGCTGGCACAAAGTCTTGATCAGGAGGTCTTGGCAAATGCTGTGGATTCAAACAGCGGGTGTGGGGTTGACCAGGGTTTGGGGTTCGGTTATCTTCCACCCTTATCATCAATCTTTTTCTAAAATCTCATATTTTCAAAATTTAAGGATGGTCCAGCATCCTTTTGAAAGTGGTCAGAAGAATCAAGCCACTTCTTAATTCCAATTCCTTTCACTTTTCATCTTGCAGTGGTAATTTCTCTTTCCTTTCTCCCACCTTTTCAGCATCCAAACATAGCCCATTTTCATAGGCTAGTACAACTGTCTTTTTGATGAATCTAAACTTTAGAATGCATAGGCAAAAAGTGGGTTGCCAGTAATTAATCTTTTTTATCAGCTTGTCTCATTCTGTTTGTTTTAGGTGATTTCCCAAAGCCAAGGACTTGACCATATTCTAAAATAATCGAAGCCAATCTGGATGGCCCCTGCCAGCCAAATCTCAATTGTTTTGTTCATCTACAGTCGTCATTAAAGCAAATATCTTTAGTAATAAAAAACATTCTCTTTCTCTGTTTATATGTTTCTGGGTTAGCCAGACTACCCAGCTTTTGCCTATGCATTTAACCCTAAGTTAAACAGAGAAAATCCAGATCTAACAGTCATTGTACTTTTAGTTTAATTATTTTCATTTTTAGTATACTGACCCACCAAAAGAATACAACTCAATCCTTTATACTCTCTGCAGCATTTTTCTTCTTTTTTCCCTCCTCTTTTTTTTTCTTTTCTCTTTCCTCCTTCTTTTCCTTTTTTCTGATTAACTCCCTGAGGCCCTAGTGACACATCTTCATGAGGATGGCATTGATGACAAAATTTGTCACCGTGCAGGTTCTGGACTAGATGCTTCCAGTTTCTCCAAAACCTGCTTCTGTCATCCATTTTCTGTAAGAGTCGATTGGAGGTCAAACAAAATCAGAATAGAAGAAAGTGCTGATGACATGAATTTGTTTAAGGTGGATTTCAACTTGCCAGGAAGTGACTCACACACTTGATTTTATGACCCTCCTCTTCAGCACATATGGAATGAGACCTGCAGAATCCAGTTATGAAACTACAATGGACTACTGCTGATTCTATTATAATTTTGAGTGGCGCTTTCTTTAGCATGTCCATCATGCATAGATAGCCCTCTTCATCTGCTGGTTCAATTGTTGAGATTTGGTGTTAGTTGCATTTACTCTGGGTCCTCGTCCTTGATGCCAAGAACTCCCAATTGCATCATTCTGTCATTGAACCATGCAAGATTCTCCACCACAACAAAAAGTGATCATCAGAGGTTTGCACACAGAAACATACATTCATAAACAGACATCTATATTTTACACTGGATGTTTGAGTAAAGACTTTGTCATCAAATGTACCATATCATTACTTTAGAAACCAAGCAATAAATATGAAAATAATAAAAGTATAAAATTACCATCAAATATATGAGAACATTTTTTATTATTGTTGTTGGTGAAAATATATGAAAGATAAGTAATAGAGGAAGAAATTGACTATTTTGATCTGAACCAATAGTTAAAAAAAATAAACAAAACAAAATAATGCTATGACTTGAAATGCTTTTCTCACAAATTTGAAAATACGTCCTTGTTCATAAAAAATTATACTACAATCAACAAATAAGAAAAGGATAAAAGAATAAAATTATTGGCAAATATTAAAAACTAGCAGAGAGGCTTCACCTACTCACTTCACAAAGTAAGATATATTCATTACTTGAAATCTTTGAAACATTCATTCATAAATTGGTTGCAAACATGAAAGAAAACATTTGTATTTATTCAGATAGCTAAACATCAGAATTTTAGCCATTTTTAAACAAATGAAATATGGTGAAACAATAACATTTAACAGGTGTTGACAGAAATAAAATACATTTATTTTCATGAGTGAAAAACATTAGTGAAAAAATTGAAATCAAAAGGAAGTTTTTTCTTAAATAATTCTTACTGTAATGGATAAATAACATTTTTTGTTTTTTATTTGGATCAAGTATAAATAAATTCCTTCCATTTCCAACTCTTGAACAGGTAACGTATAACTAACCATGAGAAAAGCATGGTTGCATAAGGTGAAGTCCAGTAACTTTCATTAATGTAGTTTTAAAATGGCTAAAATTCTAATGTTTAGCTATCAGAATAAATACAAAGGTTTTCTTTCATGTTTACAATCAATTTATGAATGAAATGTTCATTTAAAATTTTTGTTTCAAAGATTTCAAGTAGTGAATATATCTTACTTTGTGAAGTGAGAGTGAGCAGGCAAAGCCTGCTAGTTCTTAATAAAGTAAACTTGCAAAAACACTTCTTAAAAAAATAAAACCATTGATGTCTACCTTGACTTATCTTAAAAAATAAACAAATATGTATTTTAATAAATAAAGATTATAAGTGCATAATAATATAAACAAAGAAAAATATAAGAATAAATGGGATAATTAAAACAATTAAGATTTCCCTTTTAAAATACAGCATTGCTTTCTTTGAACAATGAAAAAATCATGTACATTCACTTTGACATCAGCATCTCTCTTCACATATATATATGATAACAATATAAATTTTAAATATATCAAGAATAATATTAGGGAAATATGTGACAGTGAAAAATTTTCTTGTGACCTAAAACAGGTCACAAGAAAATTTTTTTCACTTTTGTCATACATATTCTTTAGAACTTCATTGGACTAAATTTGTTATTTTGATTCGACTGCACTATATATATATATATATATATATATATATATATATATATATATATATATATATATATATATATAATGAGCACACACACACATATATATTTGAAAATTATAGATTTGATAGATTACTGCATCTGTAGATAAAAATGGTGTAAAATGATTTTCTAAAAGTAATCAAGACATTTGGAAGATTAATTTTAAAAAAAAATTTCCTCTATTAACATTTTATGTAAGTAAAACTTAATTTAATAAACCATTCATGACTGTTTTTTCATTGTATTGGTAGTCCATATGCTAATTTCAAGCACAGAACAGCATTAAAATAAATAAACATTCTCTTTTTTTCAAGACCAACCAAAATAAATCACATTTAGTAGCATAAATAATAATTTATTTGCCAATATATATTATTATTAACCTGTGAAAGCAATTTTTGATTTGATTGTAAAGAATCAGCAAAAATACAACCATATATGTGAATAAAGGTATAGATTTAATTCTTGCCAGATATAATGGATGTAAACAACAAAATTTTCAAGCTTAATCTTTTTTGCAGCTGCCTATGACCTTGGTGGCGTAGTAACCAACAGTCGAAGAGAAGGGGATATATTGAATAAAAATAAAAGATCAGGAAGCCTAAAAGAGATGCATTGGTGAGTACACACTAATCATTTTCTTAGAATAAAAGTGAAGTTGTTCTGTTTTAAATACACTTATTCTGTGGAATATTTTTAAAATAATAAAAAAATATCAATAACTAAGAGTTAGAAATATATTAAGATTTAATGTTAATATATTTCTAAATCTTAATTATTGATATTCACTTACATAAATTTGTTATAATTGATAAGTAATTACATTATAATGGCACCTCTAATAGAAGTTATATAATTTATTATAATACTTCAACTAGAAATTTGATGTTTTCATGGTAATATCAAGTCTTAATATCTGTTTAACATTAATTTTGTTATGCTGAATGTAGGATTTATAAATGTATTATAATCAGTTTATACTTTTTCTAAATAATTTATATTTCTAAAATTCATTAATTTAGAAATGGTTTCTTCTATTTTTGATAATTTGCTTTTGGAGTTGGACATAAAAATTTTCATTAAATGCATATTGATGAAATTTCTTTTTCCTAGTTTACATCCAGGTGACTTGTATCCATATACCAGAAAACCACTGTTTCTAATATGTGATAGTGATAATAGTTCAGCTTTTCAGGTAAGGGTTAAATTTTTTCTTTTTATAACAGTGATTTCCACTTTTATAAGTAGTTATTTACTAAGCTTTGTTTTATCTGGCACTCAAGATTGGAATTGCTTACAGTAGGTGCTATTCCAAAATGGTCACTTATAGTTAAAAATGTATTATCCACAAATCTATAGATTTATACTCATGTAATGTATGATTCACACAAATTTTATGACTCATCATGGTTGTAGGGGCACCACATGTATTGTAGAAGTGGTGTTTCCTGGGTATGACAGCCTGATGGAGCCCAATTTTCTCCAGGCTGGTTTTGAATTCAGAGTTACTGTTTCCTTGACCGTCTGTCACCCAAAACTATAGAACCCTGTCTGTCCTGCTATTTTACCCATAGCTGGTGGGGAGAAGAAGAGGATTCATATCTTTACCATAAGTGAATGTAATGGATCTGACTAGAATTCAAACTTGGCTCTCTGTTTCCTCAATTCGAGCCACTATCTATTACTCCACCATGCCTCTTCTAATGTACCATTACAGACATAAAATAAGATAAATAAAATATATATGTAAATGATGAAAATGATTCTAGTTTCTCATTTCTGAACAAATTACTTTTTATTACTTTTATTTTGATACACTGATGGAAATTGATGTAATGAATATGCATACACCTGGGTTCCCCCTCACAGTAATATGATTGGCTGGTGTCAGCCATAAATACAGACTGATGTGGAGGTACAGGTCAATGCCTACTGACACCTATTATTGCCACCTACCACTATGACAAGGACCAGTCCATTATGGTTACCTGCTAGATTGTTCTACTCAGTTACAGTAGTCCAAAACCACTTTGCTACTTTGAACAAATATATCCCTTTCCAGGACATATCATGTAAAATAAAAAAACAAATGGACAATATGATAGAAAAAAAATTCTGAAAATGTTTTAAATTAAAATCATCAAATAAAAAAATAAATATCTCAATTGTAATTATTTATATCAATAATCAGAGTTGATGAGAGTCAACACCAGGTTCAATTGTGTTCCATCAGTGTGTGAGATTGTATTTCCCAGTAAACCTGAAAAATCAACACTTAAACATTATGAGCTTGTTACAGAATTTTTATTTTTTTTTTTCAAGACCAAAACATGAGATAAATTACCAAACAATGTAATGTTTATCAAATACTTTTTAATCCTTTAATAAATATGAAAAATTTTTCAAGTTATGCTTAATGAATATATAAAAACTTTTGTTTATCAACTAATTTGAAATCATTATTTACCATCCCACTATAAAGTTTGAATCAATTAGCAATTGACTGTTTTGTTTTTCAAGAAAGAAACAAGAATAAAACAACAATTCAAAAGTCATGATTTTGAAAATTTAATGACTAATTGGAGATGTTTGATCTGAGATCATTTTTTTTTTTGAAAAAAAAAAAATTTTTTTAAATTTCAATCAAAATGCCATAATTTCTGAGGGTATTGGAAATAATTTAATGGTAATGTTAATTCAGAAAAATGCTATCTTAAATTTTCTTGGTAATAACTTTTCTCCTGTTTAAAAATTCAATTGATTTAAGAAAAAAAAAAAAAAAAAAAAAACTTTTTTTTTATTATTTATTGTTTCACCTAATATTGCATTGGCTCATATTTTGATATATTTTTAAATATTTGAATGAAAAAAATTTTTCAATTTTAAACTCAGTGTGCAATAAAATAAATATTGGAAGATATTTGGCTTCATAACTTTATAATTTGAAAACAAACATTTGTTTAATATTTATCAAAATGTCTTATAAAATTAAGACAAAAAAATAAGGCTTTGAAAGGTTGTTTTTTTGAAAGCACAAAATTTAAAACTTTAGCAAATAGTTTAATAAAGAAAGTGGTATTTGTTTTCAATATAATGCAAAAAAATTGTTTGAAATTAATTAAAAGCATTAATTAAAATTAATTTTTTTCATCTTTTAATTCATCAAGCTTAGTAACTATTTTGTAGTTTTAATGGATTTATTATAACTAAGAATAAAAAGGAAAGAATTCTTTTCATCTTGACAAGGCAGGTCCTAACTGTGACATCTCTTTTACAAAAACATGATAAATGGAAAACTTTTTTTGAGATGAAATGCCAACCTCCCCCATGTATTTGTGGTTTAAAGCTACTGCAAGAAACCACCTTTCCAAAAAAAGACATGTATTTCTATAAATATTAAAGATCGTGAAAATTTAAATTCAATTAAATTGTTATCCTCAACTTTTAAATTTTTGTTCTTTTATTGGGTTCTCTATAACCCCTTTAAACAAATCATGTAAAAAAAATCATATAGAATAAAATTTATATTAGACCTTGAATATAGTTTGAATATAGTCCTTTAAGATAGTTTTTTGTCAGATATCCAATCTGCTATATGAATTTGGTTTGAAATTCAAAGTTTTTTTTTTTAGTTCTATTTTTATTTTTTTTTTTTTTTTTTTTTTTAAAAAGATTCCTTGCTCTAGTTAAATACTGATTGGTGGTTCAATTTTTATATGTCATGTTTATTTTACCATTAAATTGGTAAAAATGCCCCAATATTTGACCATTTACTTGCAAGCTTTTAATGGTTCATGCTGATTTAATTTTTGCAAAAAAAAAATTTTTTTTTTCTTAATCCAATTTTAACTGTTAGACTTATTTAATTCATGATTTGTAAAATAGAAAATATCTTGATTTATGAAAGTTTAACCAGAAAAAAAATCTTTTTTATTTGTTTTGAATTTTTGGAGGTATTTATATTTTTAAGTATAATCCATTTTTCTCAGAAAAAGATGGTTTTCTTCATTGGTTTTTTTTCTAAATAATTATCTTATTAAATTTTGAGTTTTCAAAGTTTTGTCAGTTTCCTAAACCAACTTTTGAGATTGGATGTTTGATATATTTTGAGAATTGCAATTTTTTTTTTAGATTTTGTTTGTAGAATTATTATTATTTAACCCATAATGACTGATTCATTGGATTGGCTTTTTCTTCAAGGATATTTATGTTTATAAGATAATATTTTTAATTAAAAAAAGAATTTCTAATTCAATTTCACTATTTTATTGCAGTTTTTATTTATTATTTGCATATCCATATACACATATTTTTTATTTAAAAATACTGAAAGATATTGGCTTGCTTTCTCAATTTTTGTAAAATTTTTTCTGTTTGATTTTGTATAAAAATTCTTATTCTTCTTTTTTATTAGTGGTTGGTTAAAGTTTACAAAATTTTGCTAAAAAAAACATAAAAAATTTAATTTATTTTCATTAATTTATTTTGTTTAATATTCTTACTTGATTTTATTTTCCAGTGAATTTTTTTTGAAAAAATTCCAAATTACAAATTATTCAGAAGAACTTTTGCTAGAATTAACAGTCTGATAAAATTTTGAACTGACATCCATTAGATTTCAAACATATTTCTAGAAATTGTCTTTTTTCAAGCAAAAACTTAAATAATTTAGTTCAACATTCCAACTAATTTTATTTTTGATAAAAATGTTTTTTTTAAGAAACATTGTAAAAAATAATAACAAATATGAGGACTTAGTTGAATAATGTAAATAGTGTTTAATGTGTTAATATTCAATTAATAAAAACTAAATGTAAAAAATATTTATTATTTATTCAATTTTTTCATGCTTGATATTGAGTTTCTGGTTCTTTAGTAAAGTTTTTTCTTTTTACCAACAAAAAACTACTTCTAGAATTTTCTACATTGACTTTCCTGTTTAGGAAAAAGTTTAATTTGAAAAAAAAAATATACTAAGCTTCCTGATATACTTAATATCTAAAAAAATAAATAATTTAAATTTTGTTCACTAATTATTTAAGTTTTTCCTTTAAGTTTTACTTTTCAAATAAAGTAAATAAAAATGTTAAACATTTTTTCAGTTTTTTTTTTCAATGCATGCAAATGTTCAGCACTTTTGTTCAAAATATAAAATTTTAAAATGATAAATTAAAACTTTTATACACTTAAGAAATTGACAAAATTGTCTCCAATTGAAATAAATTTAAATCAGGCTTTATTTAACCTTTTTTAAATGTTAAAAAAAAAAAAGCCCCAAAATTTCAAGTTTGTTTTTCATAATGCAATTATACAATCCACACAGGTAACCCTTTTTATATGAACCTTTTTTTTTTAATGTTTGTATTGAGTCACATCAATATTTCAAAAAAAAAAAAAAAAAAAATTGTCTACAGTAATGATGAACGATATCACATCTTTTTTATAACCAAATATTTAACAAACAAAAAAAATTTTTTTTTGTTTGAAAATTAATTGGAAATGAGAATTAAATTGTATTATGAGCTATTGCAAAAAAAAAAAATGTAAATTATTTGAAAATCCAACATAATTTTGGGATTTTATCTTATAAAGGAAAGCTTTGCATTTAACAAACATTCTATTTTTTTCAAAATGTTTATAAAAATTTTCAGAACATTTCATGGCTGTTTGAAAATCAAGATCCTTTTTTTTTTTTTTTAAGAGTCTGACAAAATCCTGGATGAGAATGAATATTGCCGTTTCATTTCATTTTATTCAACTTGATTTTGCCTCCTGTCCTTGATTAATTTCCCTTTTATTTTTGGACAATCATCAATCAATAATATTTTGAGGGTGGGCATAAAAAAAGACTAAATAAACAGGAATCAAAGAATTTTCCTTTACAGAATTGCAAAAAGCATGGCTGGAGAAGGACATTTTAAATTTTCATCATTAAACTTGATAATGGTTTTAAAAGGACTGTTTTATGGAGATAAATTTTAATGATTTTTAAGTAAATCATTTGACATTATCCCATTTAAATTTTCAGACAGATTTTTGAAATTCATATTTTTTTCCTTCTTTATATTTGATCTTGAATTCTCTCCAAATAATAACTGTAATGATTGTCTGTATAAATTACAATTGGTTTTAAATTTATTATAAGAAATTGATTTCCACAAGATTTCTAAAAAAATGATAGCATGATGAAAAAAA